TAACTCCTGACGGCACTCGCTGGACACCCACCCGCCTCCATGACCCTGACCCATCGCACCTGGCACACAGGAGCCTCATCTTATTAATTTTTTATTAAATACCTGCAAAGAATGGAAACTAAGTATAAGAAGCTACTGGAGGGAGGTGCAAATTACCTTATTGCAATTAGTCAGAAATTTAATTTTAACAAGCAAGCATTTAAAATGCAAAAACATCACAAAGTCATCTAATCTCTTTCCCCAGTTGAACTTTCCACCTGACAATGAAAGACATAGGGACATGAAACTGAGAAATACGTGTTTTATTATTCTAAAGAATATCAGTCCAGCTGCTGAACAACATGTACGTGAAATGCTTAAGACAGTGAGAAAGGTTGTGACTGTGAACACACTGGTGTGACCCAAGGTAAAAAGAGATTTTACTCACCATATGAAATGCAAGCTAGACGAATGCCCAGCAAACTCTGGTTTTATATTTTTTCAAATCTACTTCATGCATCAAATTATCTACCAAACTCCCTACTTATTTGTCTTTAATGACTAGTACGAAAATAGCTATCTTTTCTTAAGTGCACTATAAACTGAATGACCATCCTATAAAAATCCACTGGATTTATAGTGCTAAAAGCCAAAGTCCCAGAACCGTACTTCTGTTTACTTGAGAAGTATAAACCATTACCCAGAAAACAGAGAGGCCTTTTAGAAAGACTGGAAAACAAATGGTTTAAAAGCATTAAGATCTACATATCTTTCCTTCCCATACATTCAAGGCCATCAATCATACATAATCCAGAACATACGAGGTGCAAAAGTGCTAAAAAGGGCCCATTAAAATACAAGTCTTTCCAGGTGTACCACCCAATCACTAGAACTGAACACAGAGCAAAACCAGCTCCCATTTATACACACAATACCATTAGAGGCAATTTATCATGTCTTCCTAAAGTGATATATAGCACGTTATGAAATTGCTCATTAACTCTCCCGGCAAAAGCCCAGCATGCCCCCATGTACTCAAGTGACTGTAATTGGCATTTCAGAGACCTCGGCTTAGAATTCACAGTTATTTACAAAGCTCAGCTTCCATAATCAACTTTTTAACCTGCTTCTAGTAATATCATTAACTTCTTCTTTTTTTTGAGTTTTCCTTATTATGCAATGCAACAGTTCCTTTTCAGCCCCCAAAGAGACAGCGTTTGAATTAGATTTCTTCTTCTGCTTTACCATTCTCCCTTCAAGAAGACCTATAAAAGCCTAAGCTCGTGCAAGCCATGCCTTTACTATAAACACAAAAAACCCCTCATTAAAACAGCATTGTAATAAGTGTAGAGCCACAGAAATCTTTTTTTTTTTTCAAATGGGAAAGACAAAGCATTCTCAGAAATATCCAAGATCATGATCGTAATCATCCTAGCACATAAGTATCATTAGTCACAAAGACCTGCATTTACAAAGCATTTCAGCACATGCTTAAACTCCAGCATATGTTTAAGTCCTGCTGCCTCCAAAGGGACTTCATGTGCACAGCTGGCTAAGGGCCAAACAGCCAACTTCACATATCAGCACATGAGCAGTTTCACACCCATGCTTTGCAGGATGACTTCCAGCCAAAGGCCTCGATATCCTTCCCGTGGGAAGACAAGTGTCACTGTCTTGTTCAGCTGGATGAGAAACAGAGACACAGGGTTTGGCCGGCTTAGATCCTCTCCCCAGCACTGTGCCAGAGCCAGGAATTAAATCTTTTCTGATGAAACTTTATCAACCCCAAACGGTTCCCCATCCATGAGACCACTGCTGTCTCGATCAGGATTCAAGCTCTGCTGTATTTGCTTTGTCTTCTCTGCACTGGCAAGCACAGGATGCTTACAGCAGCCACAAATGCTGTCCTGGAAAACAAAGTCCTTGTGGAAAAGCCACACAGCAGCTCAGCAGCTGGACCATGCAAGGCAATGCTAATGGACTTACCCAGCTTTCTCTCCCTAAGCCCACACCTGAGAGAAAACATTTCAGCACGAGTTGATATTTCCAGACTTGCCTAGGAGTCCTCATCTCTGATTTGTTTAATGACTGCCAGTCCCAGTCTCTACCTATCACTATTGTGTCTTGAAATTACAGCAAACCTTTTCTTTTTTTTTAATTTCACCCCATTTCAGACTTTCTACTATTTTTTCTGATAGCAGATAAGGTTCACTGTCACAGACAGAAACGTACAGAAATGTATTACAAGAGAGATGCTTCAATTGAGGGTAGAAAACGCAGCTCAGCAGGCAAAAGTCAGGGAGAAGGCAATTCCCTCTGAGAGTGTCTGTTGTTTTATGGGTTAATATAGAGGTCCTCAAACCATTTCATAATTGCATCACTTCTTAATAGAAGACTGCCTTGCTGGCACCTTTCCATTTGCAGTTGTCTGGACCACCTGCCCTCTCCATTTGCAACTGCATTACATCCCCATGACATCCTAGAAGAGCAATGCCTGGTTAGTAATCTATTTTATTTTACCTTGTGGCAATTTATCAGACTGAAATAAGGAGAAGGGCCAGCTCCTCACTGCACACAATTAGTTATGCAAGAACTGATTTTTAGGAATGAAGCTGAAAATTCTAGTTATTGTAATTTATTTGATTCCTCAGCACAGACAGACCCCTAGCCCGTGACTGTGCTGAGATGTCTGTGTGGCACACTGCCCATCTCTGCTGTGACTGCTTATGGACAGTCACTCAGGGCATGGTAACATGTGACATGCTAATAAGCCCAGTGTACTCTGCACAGGAGTCCCTGCGGATGGTTTGAGGAGGACAGGACACAGATGACTGCAAATAAGAGTAAGTTTTGCCAACAGGAGCATAGCCCTGTCATTGCCTCTTCAACTGTTCTAAGTCCGATCTTAAACCAATCCCATTTGACACTAAAAGACACAAAGATATCAAAACCATCCCCAATCACTTAGAGAGTATCTTGAATGGCTCATTCAAAAATTAATTGCAGTATGTCATCCTTTGTAGTTCACAGCCTATTGTTACTGCCAGGTGCACTGGCAAAGGCAGTATTTGCCTCTTGCTTTAGGCAGCGTTTCTCCCAGTAGAGGACATTTTCCTCTAATGACACTACCACAAGATTTAGAAGGTAGCATTAAATAAAATAGGAGCAATACTAGGTATCACAAGATATACTTGAATAAAGTCCACTCCAGACCTCAATAGCTGAAAACCAATGAAGAGATTGCAAGTATCTCTTTGAGAAACTGTCTGATATCCTATTCCTTATAAAGAAAAAGCAAGATTCAGAGTGATTTGACCAGGATCACTTGGGATGCCTGTGGCAGAGATGCTAACTGAACACAGCTCTTTGTGACCGAATACAGCTCTCTACTTTGTAACTACAAAAACACTTTCTCCTTCTGCCTGCCTATATTTAGTCCCTTAATCATGCTGTGCTGGTTTTGGCTGTGATAGGGTTAATTTCCTTCATAGTAGCTGGTATGGGGCTGTGTTTTGGATTTGTTCTGGAAACAGTGTTGATAATACAGATGTTTTTGTTATTGCAGACCCTTGGAGGGACTGCATAATATGGAGCAGTGTTTGGTAGATGCTGGCCAGGGTCCAGCACAGTGCAGGAAGTTCTGCCATCCCTGGGAATGTTCAGAAAACGTGTGGGCGTGACACTTGGGGACATGGGTTAGCAGTGAACATGTGGGCAGTGCTGGGTTAATGGTTGGACTCTATGATTTTAGAGGTCTTTTCCAACGTTAACAATTCTATGATTCTAAGTTTTGTCTCTTTGGAATAGCCACAGCATTTTTTTCCCCCAAGCATTCTATCACTTCATCAGGATCCTGTAATTGTTCAGGAGTGAAGTTTCAGACCAGTGGATGTAAGAAGTTCCCTAGATATTCTCCCACATGCTGTGCCATCCATTGCCATACCCTCACAAAGCATAGATCATATTCCTAAATGGGTTGTGAACCTTAGACAAAATCACAGCTGTATTCCTAGGAAATACCAATAAAAGTATTTTAACTATTCAAGGATGTTCAAGATACTGAGAAGGTCTTGTAAAGAGGGAGAAAACATCACAGAGGAAGGTAGCAAAGGTGCCATTCTGTAATTCCTCCACAAAAAAACCCCACAAAACTTTTCAGAGGAAGAATTATAATCCTTAGTTGTCTGGATGAGATGGCATCCAAAATACAGGGGCTTCAGTACAGAGCCCAAATACCAGATGAAGCCGAGGTCAGTGTTTTAACAACAAATCTCCCAGGCAAAACATCACTAATCACTACAGAGTACAGGAAACTGCAAAAGCCAACACCAATCCTTAACACGTACAGCAAAAAAAAAGCACATGGTGCAGATCAGATAAACTAATATTGAGAACAGATGAATCAATATCATGACCCACAGCTACTAACAGATATAAATCCCTTCTAATATCCTCTGGTCAATCTGTTATTATCCCAAACCCTTTGAGCCCCACACTGGGTGCCAAAAAGGACTGTCATGGTTTAACCACAGCCAACCCCAACTCAGCCCCAGTCAGCCACTCACTTGCTTCCCTCCTGATGGAATGAGGGAGAGAATCCGAAAAGAGAGAAAACTAATGGGTTGTAATAAAGACAGTTTAATAGAGAAAGCAAAAGCCACACACACAAACAAAGCAAAACAAGGAATTAATTCACTTCTTTCTATGGGCAGACAGGTGTTCAGCCATCTCCAGGAGAGTGGGGCTCTGTCACGCGCAATGGCCACTTAGGAAGACAAATGCCATCACTCTACATGTCTCCCCTTCCTTCTCCCTCCCCCATTATTACATGCAGAGCATGATGCCATATGACATGGAATATTCTTGTGGTCAGTTGGGGTCAGCTCTCCTGGTTATGCCCCCAAGTTTTTGTGCACCCCCATCCTGCTCACTGGTGGGGTGGGGTGAGGAGCAGAAAAGGCCTTGACACTGCATAAGCACTGCTCCGCAATAACTAAAACATCCCCCTATTACCAAGACTATTTTCAGCACAAATCCAATTTTCAGCCCCATACCAGCCTAAAGAAAATTAAATTTATCCCAGCCAAAACTGCTGCCCCCATGTGTACAAAGAGTTAACAACTCGGTGTACTCACAGGATAGGAAATAAGAACAGACTTAATACTGAAGGTAGGAAAAAATCATATAAACATATTAAAATCTAAGAACTCAGTACAGTTATTGCCTCTGACTTTTCACTCCTTTTCTGCTCCTGTGGCCTGTCTGGCAGTGCAGTGTATCCTCAGGAAACACACACACTTCCTTGGGTGACCAGAACAAAGGGGTCCACCCAGCACCACGACACAGCAGCCCACAAGACAGGTAAGTCTTAATATGGTTGCAGAATTAGAAATCACCAGTCTCATTGTGTCCAGAGAAGTTAGCATTTTTCTGTACAGCTTTTGAGATTGTTTTTGGATGCGTCTCAAAGCAATTCCATTGCTGCCATAATAACACATCTTCCAACAAAAGGTTTCCTTGCCAAGACTAAGTATGAGGACAGGAAACTAATGACTTGATGGAGATTTGGTTCTGGCACACATCTCTCAGAAAACCACACTTCAGGTTATTGGAAATATTTTTTCTCTTAAATATTAGTGTGACTTTTCAATATTTCTGCCAAATGATCTGCCACCCTAAGGCTTAGGGATTAGGGTGAACTCAGTACTTCATACTGCTCAAGACCCTTCTAAGCATCTTGGAGTCTTCAAGCTAACCTTGCCTCATCCAGAGTATCAGAAAGGCCAAAAAACAACTATTTTCAATACATCTCAAGCTAATATGGAACAGCAGGTTTTGTGTTTTTATGTAAGTCTTAAAATGTGGTAAAACACATGCTGAACTAGTGTCTCAAGACTGTCAGAACTGCACTTAATGTGTTGCTTTGCCAGAAAAAGTGTGCTGGTGTGGTAGTCAATGTCTTTCCTTTTCCAGTTAAGGAACATACATGCAGCATTTTTCCTTCTGTCACATCCACATCAACCAGTGGGACAAAAATACAAATAACACAATGAAATAACAACACAAAGCTGCTTCTTAGCTCATTGCAATGAAATGTGAATGCATGCTTTACTTTCACTCTAATTCTTACCTGATGTTCTTCATCATCAGCTCTGTACAAAGAGGTAAGAATCTTTATCTCCAATTTTCAGATAGGGAAATGGAGGTAAAAAGACACAAAATGGCATGCCAAAGCACTCAACTACTATTAGCAGAGTCAAGAAATTAACTTCAATTTTCTGAATCCTATTTTCAGAGGTCTGTTTGTTACACTACACCCAGAGATTTTTTCTTTAAAAATATCAACATTATTTTTCATATAAAATTTACACACTATGGATTTTTATACATACTGAAAAAGTAATTTTAAATAGTAAAATGAATACATTCCTCTGTATAGCACTCTGCCAAACATTTTCAAAACACCACCCTAAGGCACATTCTTGCAATCCAGGGATCTGGAATTTATGCTCTATTATCTTTTTTCCTAACACAGTGCTCTATCGTCAACCAAATTTGAGCCTGTGGATTTAGTTTAATTTCAAAGCCTCAGCAGTTGCCTTCTATAAGGCCTTCTATATTTCTGAAGGACTCGGGATCCAAGACCAAGATGTAAATTCATGGAAATTAAAAAATTAAGAAAATAAATTAAAGGTTATATGATTTCAAATGAGGTCCCCTTAAAGGTCTAAAATATAACTCTAAAGCAAGACCAGTGAGTTATGTGAAGTCTCTGATGTTTGCATCTACACATTTGGTCATGAATTACAGGATGCTCATCTTCCAGATAGCCTTTTGGTACTTAAATTTTCACCATAAGAAATAAATTACTGCTATTGTTTTCCTACCTTGGGCAATTTGAAACCAGATCTTACACAGGATGGACTCCAAACACCATTGTCTTTCTGATTTTCTGATTTCCAACACAAACCAGTTTTGTGTCCATCCTGTGAGCTCCTCATTTCACCTGTGAACTCGGAGACAAATCGCTTTCTGTGAGCCCCCAGCAGTGTCAGCTGGATCTTTCCCACATTGCTCATTTTTCCTTACTGGAACCACAGACCCATCTAAGTTTTATTGTGGTATCTATCAATGCTTTGTAATTTGTTTATCCAGGACAGCTCAACTCTGATGGAGCATCTGTTTTTCAGCAGGGTCTTGCTTTTGTTACCCAATTTTCCAGCTGGATTGACAGAGGCACAAACAAGTCAAGTGACCTGCCCGGGTCAGGCAGTGCCGGTGGCTTGGAACAGATTGGAGCCCTCCTGTCTCCAAACCCTGCACTGGACCGTGCTCCCTTTTACAAGTTCTTCTACACTAGAGATAAATTGTGTCCACTTTTCCCTTTTGTCTTCTTGTCTCATAGTAAGCCCCCCTCATTTTGTTTATATGGTTGTTTCACTTCTGAATACAGGTTTAAGCTACGTGGAGGTCATTAAAATATACATAATGAAGCATTCAAGACTAATTTTTCAGTGGTCTGGTCTCCTGATCCTTCTCTTGAACTCAATGACCTGGCAAACTTTTCTACATCAGGTGTTCATACTTCCTCTTCAACTTCCTTAAGGAAGAAGGAATGCAACTCATTTGCCACTTGTACTTTGTCAAATTCTAATTGTTATTAATTTTCCACCCAACCACTTCCAGTGAGATTTCAGGCTATTTGCAGCTTCATTTATCATGGGATTTTTATTCCCATCACACAAATACAACCTGCTGTTTACAGTTATTACACAAGTAAAGATGCTCATACAGACCTGGCCTTACTACTGTATATTTTTCACTTTCAACTTTAGAACTTGGAGGCTTTAAACATGAAGTTCCTGTACTCTAGATCAGAAGCTACAGAACTCCACGGTTGACTCTTGCTTTTCTCAGATCTTAAACATTTTCCTAGGCTTTCTAAATCTCACTTTGACTGTTTGCAAAACTATGAGCTTCCTACTTTATAAAATTGAACTGAAAGTAAACTGGTTAAGGTTCGCAAAGATGGAAATTGTTAAAAAGCTATTCTGCTGGGGGCATACACTTCCTAATATAGTCTCATTCTTAAATTCCAGCTGAGCCATGCTTTGCTTCAGACCCAAAATGGCTTTGGAAAATTCACATACTCTTTATCTACAACGGTAATGTACTACTACAGCACTGCTGAACAACTTTCTTTAAGGTTTATTTTCTTGAATAAACCCACTGATCTTAAATTCCATTTGTACTTTAAACCAAAGATTATGAAACAAAGGGAGCCTAATATTACTATTTCAATGGTATTTCAGAGCAAAGTACGTAAATAATGGTACCTTAGTTATTCATTAAGTGAAACCTTTACTAATTCTCAAAATACCCCTTTGTTTCATAAATATATTTTTTTTCCTTGAGAATAATTAGATGCACTATTACTAGGTAACTAAATATCTGATTTGAGGTAAGCAGGTGTAGGAGGTAGATGTCTGGCCATGATATACCAAAATTTACTTCAGAAACAGTATAGTCTACCTGAAAGGGCCAGAGTTGTTTCTGTTAACTTCAGTCAAAGTCACCTCCATAACCACATTGGCTTCTCTAGAAAGAAGACTATTTGCAAAATTTGTATCCCCATTTTTTCCATGTCATCTGAGAATAAATATTTACATTAGTATGTCCAAAATCAACTTAAAGTGGTAAAAACAACCCATTCATGCTAAGCCTACTTGCTCTCCTTTTATTCACAACATAACGCATATTTACATATATACATGTAATCCATAAAATACCACACACAGTTCACTTACTTCCTTTAGTGAATTTCAGCCAACACCTGACTGTGTAATTTATGACTCTTGTTATCATTACCTTGGTTTTTCTTGAACTCTTTTATTTATGTCCCTAATGACGTTGTCATCTAGTTGCCCAATTTATCAAGCTTTATCTAAGCCCTCCAAACATGCTGCCTCTAGCAAGGAATTTTTCTCTGTCAGGTGGATGGACAAGAATCCTCACCGAAGTCACTCATTACTAATTCTCATGTTTCCATAAAGGTAGTTTCTGAAAAAGCACAACTCTCTCGAAACCTGTCAGTAACGTACAAGAATGGTTAATTCAAGAAGGACCTTCTCAGCCCTCCTTTGCATGTGTTGCAAGTTTGCCTGTGCCTTCAATACAGTTCTTTGTTAGTATTTACCTAAACCACAGGTGTCCTGACATCATCACACCTAACAGGTTAGTGGGCATGTCAGGGCCTGAATTCACAGAACTCACAGGCAAGACAAACACCCCATAATGCAACCCAAAGGAGTGATTTTTATGTACCTTTGTGACTAAAGAACTATATTTTTGGGTGCAAGATGCATTTTGTACACCACGTATTTCTATTTTGAGGGCTGTGGCATGATACAATAAGAACTGTTGAGTATTAGGTGAATATCTACCTTTCTCCACATCCCTCTCCTACTTTAAAGATCTACAGTAAAGGGTCTTTGGATCTTGTGAGGAAATAGGGCAAATCATAAATTTTTTTTCATGGGGCAAGAGGTGTTCAGAGAGGAACTGATAATTTCCATTCTTTTGGGAGACAAAAGGAAGGCAGGGTTCAATTAACAGGCAAATAAAGACTGGTATGGCTAGGTGTGTAGTTATTTCTTCCCAGAAGCGAGGTTATTCAGTATCTAGACAGACATGTAAACCTGGTTATGATACTATAAAGGCACCAGGGCCCCTGCAGAGCTAGAATTACAGGGTTAGTGTGCAAAGAAAGTAGGCCCAGAAGGAGGAGAGGTATTTTGGAGGAAGCAAGGGTGTAAATGCTATTTTGGCTTTTGTTTTAGAATTCTTGGAACCAAAGAGGAGACTAAAATAAAAAAAAAAGCATCAGAGGTGGGGAGTCAATTCCAAATGGAAGTTTTATTTGAGGTGGCTGAAGTACTGATGAAAAACAGCAAGCTTAGAGCATGAGTTAAAAAATACTGAATAATGTCATATATGTTGAAAAAGGCAACTATTCTGGTACTATTCTGTTGTTTTAGATGCTATGGAAACATTTTCACTTTACACTTTACTTCTGCAAAATTCTTCTTTCTTGTGGCTAAACCTTTAAGAACAGAAACATTGTGAATTATAATATTAGCCAGAAACTCAATGATATTCAAGGTCAAGGTGGATCTGCTATCTCTTGGCTTGGACATTTGGTTTCTTTGGACCAGAATCACTCTCAAACCTCATCAATGATGTGTAATGGTAGTCATTCAGTCTCACTAGGTTAACTATACTTTATACAATGGATAAAAAGTTAGCCCCTGCCTTAAACAGCTTCCTTGCCAAGTTGGGAAACACAGGCTCAGAAAGACTGAGAAGCTTTACACACAATAATGAGAAGCTTCATGGTAGATCTAGAACTGAAAACACTTTACCACCATCCAAGCCATGTGCCTTAAGCATGGAGTAAATCTTTTCTCATTTTCTATATGCTATGTTGCAAAAGGTTTTAAAAAACAAAACTAAGAGAACTGATGAACAGATTCTATGAATTGCTGTAGCAAAAACCCCAACATCCCAATTGTCACAGCTCCCAAGAATATAACCCATTTTGCTGCGTGTTAAAGTTCTGAGAATCTGGGAATTCCCGTTTCCACACACCTGAGGTGAACCTAGATTTTGCATTTCCTTGATATTACACTCATCTTTCTTCACAGAATCACAGACTTCTTGGAATTGGTTGGAAAGAATGTCTTGAAAACATCTGGTCCAACCTCTCTGCTCAAGCACGGTCACCTAGAGCAGGTTTCCCAGGAGTCTGAATATCTCCATAGATGGAGACACATGGTTAGTGTCTCTGGTTAGCCAAACACATCTGTTTCGTCAAGATCCAGGGCTTGATTCTTTTTCCCTGATTCCTACAGTCATGTGAGGGAGAATATTACTCAAGACACTCTCAATGGGTTCAGCTTTATGGATAAAGGATCTATGGGAGACCTGCATTCCTTTGAATCAGCAAAAGGATGGGAGATGCCCTGTGTCATCTCAAATGGCCACAGTTCTGTATCTCTGGGTAACTGAGTTGTGCCTTCAACCCTGGACAATCCTTTTCCACTTACTTCACAGAACTAACCCACCCTATTACCCATTTGGTTCGTTTGAGCCTAGAGAAACTTTTCAAATTATCTGTCCATACTTTCTATAACTAATGGTCTCTAAAATAAACCATGGTCTTTTAGTTCCTAACTACATATTTACTAGGCCCAACAACTGTTATTTACAAAAATTAACTCTGACATGCTCTTGTTACAAGCTTAACCATTTAATCCCTGATAACTATCACTTCTAAACCTATTGCATCCACACCATCACCATGAGTACCATACAGTCATTAGTCCATCTTCAGGGCTATTACTTGAAGAAGATGCCTAGAGGCATCTTGGGGGTTGGACTACATAATCTTTAAAGGTCCCTTCAACTTAAACTATTCTATGATTCTATAATATTTGCATCCAGACTTTGATATCCATGTCAACACTTAATAAAATTAACTTTTAAATAATAACAACAATATTAATAACACTGGGAAATTAATTCATAGCCTCACACCTTGCCTCCGACTGCTGTAACTGTGCACTCACAGTGAACTGTTCTCAGACATCCCAAATCTTGCTCTTGCTAATGGCTTTACAATGGCAACAAAGCCCAAAACTTTGTACTGGTAAGGACTGCTTTGTCTCCACTGTCAGCAGTGTAAACCTGCCAGTTACAGGAGATGAAGATCCAGGCCAGTCTCCCTTTCCTAGGAAAATTTCCACTTTTTAAAATGCAACGCTATAGGCAGTTATTTCTGCAGATCCAAATCCTTCCATTCAAGATGCTCAGAGACTTTATATCTCCTACTAATGTATTCCTTGGGGAAGTTACTATCCCCCAAGTCCCCCATAGTTATCGTTAGGAAATCATTAACCCACAGTTCTTTTCAACTCTTGGTAATTATGAAGTTAAAAAAAGGGAAAGTTTTGCTGCTAACAGTTGCAACAATGTATTTGTTTGCCACATGCGATGGAAATCTGATAGACAATATCTGTGCACTCCATCTGTTACACTGGATTGATCCACTGATGAGATTCTTTTCAGAAACCTGCTTACCCCTGCTGGTGCTGCAAGCTTGAAAGAGAAAAAACACTTTCTTCTCCTTGTTCTCTTGTGTGGTGGTCGACCCTGTCTTCCTCTCCATTAGAACCCATCCTGCTGCCACAGATCTCACAGGATTTATATTGTTTTGATTCCTTTCAAACACTGTCTTGTTACCAACATCTGACAACAGTCTCTTGGGCTATCACGATTTTACAAACTGACCAGGCCTATAAGTCTCCATAAATCCCATGTGGATACAGACCTGTGAAAATGTCTTTAACTATCCATTAAAGTACACAGTAGCTCTTTTATTATATAAATAGTCATGGGTGTTCTATA